AAGGAAACGACCAATGAAGGCAATGCCTGATATCTGCAAGCATGTGAATAAGAACCTAGGCGCTCTGCTAGGTGAGGCGACAATGTACGTGCTTCTAGAGCATGGAGTGAAATGTACACTGGGACTGGAGCCAATTAAATCGATCAACCAGAAAGAGAAGGAACGGATCTACATGACCATGAGGGGATCCGGATTGCAGGCCCAAGTAGGATTAGCCGATCGAAAGAGAGGGGATAGGGGTGAATAGCAGGTGTGATGAGGCCACATTCGATTTGCCACAAAAGGGCACACATTTGGACGAGTGGAATGTGAACATGTGAGAAGTTGTGATAAGGCGGGAGTTTTATAAGAGGCTAAAGAGTACATAGATAGGCCAGGACAAAGAGAGGAGTGATAGTGTAACCGTTTTCGGCAGAACGTTTGTCGAGGCATTGACTTCACTTGTCTTGGTTCGATTATTGCCAGAGAAACGTTTGAGAATCTACCAAGTCCACTGTCTGATGCTAGGAATTATGACAACTACTATGGCAGACGACTTCGGACTAGGTGAATTCTACTAAGTCACCCTGACAACAAGGCCGAGTTGCAGAAACGAGGTCAACCCCCTTCTAACTGTAACTTGATTTAGAATATTTGGCTTTTCGAGAAAGCTAATTTGTCTTTAATGTGCTATAACCTTCCTACGGTAAAGGTAAATATTCAAAAAATATATGGATAAACACCTAGGAAATAAAAGTGAATTATGTCCACTTTTTTGCCAATATTATATTTGATTTTAGGTAAAATCCCAAATTTTTTAATGAGATATAAAGACGAGGAAAGTATGGCCCATACTTTTGTCGCAGTCTCATTTCGCTATTCAAAAGTGGTTTGACTTTGACCATTGCAGCTCTGGGCATAGTGAGAATGCTAATTAAATGTCTAGAAATGTACAAAGTCCATGATCCGACCAGGAAAATTAGCATTACTGCTAAGACAAAAGACTCCGTATATGATATAAAAACGCGATCAGACCACTTCAATTTATACTTTTTTTATAGTGTTAGTGTAGTGCATATGAAAAAAGAATTAAGATATTTCCAACTATGGAATTAAAACTCGATGAATGCAGCATAAGCCAGTTTGATAATATAAAATTGCTTTTATTCTATGAATCTAAGGATACTATCAAGGCGAAATACCAAAAATAGGTCATGTGCTTCAGATCTTTAATTCGCCATTAATAATTAAGTAGCTTATGCATACGCATTAAGTTAAACTATTAGGCCACAAATGATACATGATAAATAATTTACATAAGTATTTCGTCAGGACAAGAATTAATCACTCAATTCCAGAAAAAAAGACCGAGGTGAAAGTAAGTGCTTCTCGCGATAACAAGATATTTCATAAACACATATAATTAAGTAAATAAATAATGCGGTTAAAGATATTTCATAATCATAGTCACGTATAGACATCAGCTTACGAGTTTAACCTTTATAATGCAACGTAAACGTTAAGTCAGAAGTATGCCTTCTTTGAAATAGCGTTATAGATTGGAGCGACAAGATTATCAATACACATGACAACCACGAAGAAACCAACGAAAGGTTTTCGTAATATGTAATATCTAAATTTTACGGTTTTAAAATTAACTGAAAACTGAAATGAAGCTAAAATACTCTTACATTTGATGATAAAAAGCGATTTAGATTAATGTTGGGCCAACTCACCTTCTGAAATAGATCTTTATCCTCGATATAACGGAAAATGGTGATTGAAGAAGACAATTTGGCTTCCGTCTCTTGTTCGGACAAGTTCTTCACAGACTTGCGCAGCAATGAATCCATGTAGCGACTTAACAATTCCGAGGGCCTGAAAGGAGGTCTATAATGAAGAAAATCAGTAATGAGTAGACAGCGAAGGATCAGAAACCATTTTTTAGCCATACGGCTAGAGCTACCGGTATATTTAATAAAAAGACCCAAGTTTGAACTACATAGTGTTTGAAGACTTAGAAAAAAGAATTAAAGTTTTGTCAAAAAATAATTAATAATAAAATTTAATGATGGAAATGCATTTGAAGTATTGCATACATGGAGTTAAAGACATTCCAGTTTAAAAATTCAAAAAATATTG